GCACCAGGACGCCCATGGTTGTAGATCAATGATAGACTTCAAAGTTGTGTCATCTGATTTGCGGCCTTTTGTTTTGGACACTCAGGTGAAGAGAGGATCTGAGCTGTCAACTGATCACCATCTGGTAGTGAGTTGGATAAGATGGAGGGGGAAGATGCCGAACAGACCCGGTAGATCCAAACGTGTAGTGAGGGTTTGCTGGGAACGCCTGGCAGAATAACCCGTCAGAGAGATCTTCAACTCGCACCTCAGGGGGAGCTTTAACTGCATCCCAGCTGAGGTGGGGGACATTGAGTCTGAGTGGGCAATGTTCTGCACCTCACTTGTTTAGGTAGCTGCCTTGAGCTGTGGCTGCAAGATTGTCGGTGCTTCTCGCGGTGGCCATCCATGAACTCGGTGGTGGACACCCCGGGTTAGGGAGGCTGTGAAGCTGAAGGAGTCCTATCACGCCTTGTTGGCCAGTGGGACTCCGGAGGCAGCTGAGGAGTACCAGAGGGCCAAGCAGTCTGCAGCCTTGGCCGTTTCTGAATCAAAAGCTTGGATGTGGGAGAAGTTTGGCGAGACCTTGGATAGAGACTCTCGGTTGGCTCCGTGGAGATTCTGGCAAACCATCAGACATCTGAGGAGGGGAAAGCAGCACTTTACTAACACTGTTATCTGTGAAGGTGGGCTGCTGTTGACCTCAACCAGTGATGTCATCGGGAGCTGGAAGGAATACTTCTTGGACCTTCTCAATCCTACTAGCACGCCCTTTCATGGAAGAAGCTGAGGCGGGGGACTATGGGGTTGATCCATCCATAACTGTGGCTGAGGTCACCGATGTAGTTAAAAAGCTCCGAGGTGGCAGGGCTCCAGAAGTGGATGAGATTCACCCTGATTTCCTTAAGGCTCTGGATGTTGTTGGCTGTCTTGGTTGACATGTTTTTGCAATGTCGCTTGGACATCAGGGGCAGTGCCACTGGATTGGCAGACTGGGGTGGTGGTTCCCGTCTTCAAAAAGGGGGATCAGAGGGTGTGCTTCAATTATAGGGTCATCACTCTCCTCAGCCTTCCTGGTAAGGTAAGTAAGTAAGTAAGTAATCTTTATTTATATAGCACCTTTCACAGGCAATTACATCACAAAGTGCTTCACAAAGTAAAAGTAAACAACAAAGTGCTTCACAAAGTAAAAGTAAACAAAATTTAAATAAAAACCAGTCTGAATAAATAAGTCTTAATATCATTTTTGAAAGAGTCAATGGAATCTGAGCAGTGCAGTGACAGAGGGAGAGCGTTCCAAAGCCTCGGGGCCACCACTTGGAATGCTCTGTCTCCACGTGTTTTAAAATAAGTTCTTGGTACCATCAGCAACATTTGATTTGAAGATCTCAAAGTCCTGATGGGACATAGAGGCTTCAAAAGGTCCAGTAAATATTTGGGAGCCTGACCATGAAGTGCCCTAAATGGTCTATTCAGGGGTACTGGAGAAGCGAGTCTGATCGTTGGTCGAACCTCAGATCCAGGAGGAACAATGTGGGTTCCGTCCTGGCCGTGGAACACTGGATCAGCTCTTTACCCTCACTAGGGTCCTCGAGGGGTCATGGGAGTTTGCCCATCCTGTCTACATGTGTTTTGTGGATTTGGAGAAGGCATTTGACCGTGTTCCTTGGGGTACACTGTGGGGGTTCTTCGTGAGTATGGGATTAGGGGCCCATTGCCACGGGTTGTTCAGTCCCAATACAAGCAGTGCAAGAGCTTGGTTAGCATTGCCGGCAGTAAGTCGGACCCCTTCAGGGTGGGAGTTGGACTTTGTAGATGAACATATATCTGTGATATATTATCCATAAATTAAACTGATTCTTTCATTTTTCTGGACTGAATAATATCGTGCATTGAATAATTAAATGTAACGTGAGACGTTAATTTTCTTTGACCCATCAAATGAATGCGGTCATTTATTAACAGAATCAAAGTTTAACATCAAACATTTACATTAATTTGGCAAATTGATTTCAACAACAATATAATTAATTAGCAAGCTTTACAATTAGGAAACCATACGGCCATGATTTCCCTTGCAACTTTAACCCAGCAGACATTTCTGAAAATATCTGGATGAATTACTGGCAAGATAGAAGAGTTTTAAAGATGGAAATGAAGTTTAAATGGAGAGGAAAAGATGGATGAGTGAATATGTATCGGTATCAGAACGGCACGCTCCATTGGATCTCAGCTTCCTCCTCGGTACACTTAGGTAGTGTAAATCGACTCTTTACCTGTAGAAGGTGTCTCCACTGGTACGGAGTTCCATTTAACGCACCCTTTCAGCGTCTCCGTAGGAACAGCTGTGAATCGTCCGAAGTAGTGACGGTATTCCGTCCGACACACGTTCACCTCTCGGTTGGGCTCACATGAGTTGTGAGTCCGTCAGAGTTCCACTCAGATGTGGAAGATTGCATAATTCCCACAAGACTCGGAAGAACTGCGGATCATGTCTGGAACCTCCTGTTCTCTCCAGCACTTTTTCTGTTCGGTTCTGCTCTCCGAACTGAACTGCTCTCCCACCGCACTCTGGAACTAGGAAGTGCCGACATTTAAAGAGTTCTGTTTCCGGTTCATTTGGGAAGTCCTGATTGGCCGAAATAGCTAATCAGGGGTGTGTTTTTGTGACGTAAGAGGTCACTAGAAGTCAGAAAAACAGAAAAATGTTTTGGAACAGGCTGAAAATGTTTTTGAGACAGACAAGAGAAATGTTTAGGCGAGTTGGGAGGAAACAGGTGCCAGCTTCTCTATTTATGTCTGAGAGGATTTAAAAACATGACAGTTCGTTCCAACAAACTTGTTTGCGTTTGTCTCCAACCTTGGACCAACTTACACTTGCTCATTTCAGACAGAAAATCAGAAAATGCATAATTACTCTGTAACACATTCTAACTTGATTTCTACTTTGAATGAGGATTAAAAATTCATTAATACTGTTTCACAGTTGATTTAAAATGAGTAGTTCACTTCAACATTTAAAAATGGTTTGAACTAAACACACTTTGATTATCAAGAAAATAGTAATGATAATAAAAAAGAGAGTGTTCTTTCAATTGATCAGTGCAGGACACTTAGAAAGTCTCTGGATGAACTTAATCTTGTGTTTCTGGACTCAAATCAATGAAATAACAGTTCTTGTCCCAGGAAGGCCCTCAAGGTCAGGATTTGACCTGAGGCTTAGTTCACTACAACTTCGCCAGGGCTGCTCATTGTCACTGGTTTTGTTCATAACTTTTATGGACATAATTTCTCAGTGCAGCCAGTGGGCAGAGAGTTTTTGGTTCGGTGGCCTCAGGATTCCATCTCTGCTCTTTTCAGATGATCCTGTTGGCGTCATTGTGATTTTCAGGTCTCACTGGAGCGGTTCGCAGCTGAGTGTGAAGCGGCTGGGATGAGAATCAGCACGTCCAAATCTGAGGCCATGCTCCTCAATCAGAAAAGGGTGGATTGCTCGCTCCAGATCGAGGGTGAGGCTCTGCCTCAAGTGGAGGTATTAACTTGAATTCAGCCCAATGTGTGTCATGCTCAATCCTTTTTTGGAAAACTGCGATAGAGCGAGTCCGCGATGAACAATTTACGAAGTAGCGAGGGACTACTGTACACGTTAATTTCTCAGTGCTAAAATCACTTGATTAAATCTTTCTTCTAGAACATCTGTAAGATCTGTTGAAGAAACTTTGAGATATTATTCTGATCTTTCAAAATGCTATGGAACTTGACATAATATTCATTTACACATGAACTGCCAGTCCTCAAAACCAGATCAGCCAAGTTTTTGCTCAACAAGGAAACATGTTTTAGACGCCCTCGATACCTATGAAGGTGGCATTTCCATAAAATAGTTGTCCTGTGAGTTTTTTTTTTTATTTCTGAGGTTCGTGTTTAAAATACTAATATATAACACTAAATATATTTTCCGTTATTAGTTTTGGTAAATACACACAAATGCTATAAACATATGTCTAGTTTATTTAAGTTATAATATATGCAGTACAAATATTTTTGTTACCTACTAATCTATTTATATGTTGATCTATTTAACTGACACTTATCTGGGGTAAGGGCACAGGGCAGGATTCTGAACAAAGGTCCTCAGAACCCCCCCCCCCCCCCCCAACCACCACCCTCCACAGATATCTCTCATATATCTCTTCCAGCTCTTTTGGTCAGACATATTCCTAAAGAAGTATTTCATAGCCAATCTTGAGATACACTCTCTCTGTCTTGAAGCCAAGTCCTGATGAAACTACTATACAAAACAGCTACTTTGGAAGAGAGCCTGACACCATCCTTAAAAGACGCTCAATCATCTCAACTGTCGTGTTGAGATGATTGATTGTCTTGTCTCAAGTGTCTGAGCTCCTAACTCTGTCTTTAAGAGTAAACTCATTTTGGACACTGGTATATGACATTCTCCATTTTCTACCTGGATTATTGAGCATGCATCATGATGTTTCATTATTCTTTGTTGAAATCAGGTCTCTCTTGTAAATGAGTCCTCGGGGCTCAATGGGATTTACCTGTCTAAATAAAGGTTGAATGAATATTTAAAAGTAGCCTATGAAGTCAATGTAATTGCTGTTAATTATTGAAATGTCTAGTGGGTAGTAGCTTCAGTGGCATATTGCTATGTAGTACAAGCTAAATCATGTTACATTTTAGTACAAATTAGAGAGAAAATCAACATGCAAACAATGACAGATGTTTGCACCCAAATTTTCTGTTGGTGATGTCACTGTCAAATGAGCAAAGCGGCTGCACAAAGTTTTGATA